GTGCAGGATACACTGAGTGTGTGTGTGGAGTGTTAATTCACTTCCTACTGTAGAAACTGTACAAGCCCTCACTTGTGTAGAGGTGCAGGTAGTGTTCATTACATGAGTTTCTGTGTAGTCGGTGAAGACTTTCACTGAAGCTCACAGCAGTGCTTTAGAGTCACATGCGGTCATAAAGTAGATTCCTATTCTGTGACTGAGGAGAACCCACACAGTGTTGTGTTAGTGGATTCATTGTTAATAGGATTGTTCTCACTGTTATCACAAAATAATAGTACAAAAACAAAATGTTCTCTTTCTTTAGTTCTGAGATATTTGTTACTAATGCCGTTACACAATTTCTACTCTTTGAATATCTAACCTGGATACATTCTCTAAAAAAGAACTCCACGCAAGCAAGTAACATTTGTAGTTTCAGCACATGTGGAATGGAACTTTTGGGGAAATGGCCAACTCCTTTTATGTTAGTCAGTGTTTATGGTGTTAAGCACAATATCATTTGAGTCTTTTGGTAAGAGTGACTCATAGTTAAACGGTGGTGGTGTAACATTATTTTAACGGGTGTAAGTATTCTTTGGCACGCATGCATGCTGATTTGACAGATACACTTACAAAAAGTTGTGCTTAAAATAAATCATTCTTCATATTTTAACTGATTTAATAGTTACAACCGGATAGATTCCTTTTTGATCCACTACTCACCCTGCCTGATCTGACCTGCAAGTCACCTACTTTGTGTGTGGTAGTTTTCCCCCAGCTAGTTTTCCTCTTTAGTAATAAAATAGCAGGACAAGTCAGTGCTGTTTGAGGAAAACTTGTCTCCATGCATGTGTGTGGTTACTTGGACAGGCAGTTCGGAGGGAAGCTGATGTTTAACTAAGATAAACTGAAAAAGCACCTGGCACAGTTAACTATGTCCTTGCTTTGAAACTGAAAAGGGAAGTTCCATTACTTCCTGAATATGGCTGCCATACTGAGGGATGTCTTGGTGGCTTCAAGAGCTCATCAAATGGTCCAAGATGCAACATTTGTATTTCATTTAATTTACAAAATCTACATGCAGGGAGCCCTCGCTTTTCTTTGTATTAAATGTTTGAGCGGTATTTTTTGGCTGACACTGCAGGATGGCTGTCCTGACTCTGCACGACAGGCAGTTTGACAGAACTTGGTGATCCTGCTGCTGCACCCCCACACTGACACCAGCCTGTTCAGGTGGTTTGGACGCCTGGTAAAGACACTACAGAGTAAATATGCTCCAGTACGAGTACAAACCCTGAAATCAAGATTTACTCAAGTCAAAGTATGTACTGTAGGTATTTTCAGTAAAATATACTGCTATACTGCTGGTTGTTTTATATAATATGATTATTACTGATGAATGAATGTGTAATTAGCATTTTAGTGTAGTATAGTATAAATTATAACTATACTATATATCTTACACCGCATAAAGTAAAATCTTAACACCCTCCCCCTGAAATATGGTAAATTAATAGTATAAAATAACATCAAATGGAAAAGTTCAAGTACCGCAAAATTGTACTTGAGGACAGTACGTGAGTAAATGTATTTATTAGGGAGAATTATTAGCACATGGAGTGCATTTGTATTCTTTTTGTTCTTGTTTAGCTTATGAAAAAAAATCACTAGTTTGTCACTACAGTGAATGGATTCCATGTGTTTATTTGTTAAGAGGGTTTTTATTCCAGATGAGATAACTTTCCTATATTTGATTTGATCCTCTGTAACTGCATCTGCTCCTCGCAGAATCTACACTTTAGTGAATCATGTTTTGCTTATTGTTCTTCTGTTATTATTGTCATAATGCATATTAACTTACGACAGGGAACCAAACCATCAATGATTGAATTACTATATGTAAGTTATTTCTCTGGGCATGAGGTAAATTAAATTAAACTTTCCAGATGTGTTTCATATTTTTCTTTGAGCAGATAATAGTCTTTACATCACAGTAAGTGCTGTTTCCGTCTTAAAATGTTATGTAGTCAAGTGAACTTACGAACCTGCACCCTTAGACCGAGAGTGTGATGACAGAGTACTAACACTGGCTGCTGCACATACTTTCACCCCCCCCACTGTTTGACCATTCATTCAATGGGAGCAGCTGTGTAAGCACTTACAGCTTTTCCCTTAAAGTGTTTGTTTCGGGCCCTCTGAGCTCAAGTCCTCTGCACAGGTGAAGCCATCCAGCACTGTCCTCCCACCTTATGAACAGACATGCAACATACACATGTGTGTACTGTGTGTTCATGGTGGAGAGAGAGAGAGAGAGAGAGAGAGAGAGGTGAACGGTGAACGTGAAGCCAAAGCCCCCAGAGCAGATTTATTTGCTTTGCAGGTCGAGACGTGTTTCAGACCTTTTTAAGGCTTGGCATGTACACACAGGTCAAGATCAAGCAGTGCTGGAGCCTGGCACGCATACACACACACACCCACTGTATCTGCTATTACTACTATCTACCATCACATTCCTTCATTTGACTTTAGTGTTGGGACAGGGCTTTAATAGCAAATTTGCATGTAAATGCCATCACACACACACACACACACACACACACACACACACACACACACACACACACACACACACACATACCAGTGTGTGGTATGCCCAGCATGGCCTGTCAGGACTGTGAGAGGTCAGACAGTAAGGTCACGTCAGGTGAGGTCAATCAGTTGGCAGCAGGACAGTGAGGTTACTTCAGGTCTTCAGGTTAAAGCAGTTTGCAGCTCTGGAGATCATCAGGTCCGTAGCCAGGAAGATCTTCTGAGGTCACGAGTCCATGTCCAGCTGACTCACACATTCTCATAAAAAATAGAGAGGACTTGACCTCACAGTCCTCCACAATAGCTCAATCATTTTGCATTGGTTTCCAAACTTCTTTAAACTGGGGCACCCCTTTATAGAGCTTTTGATTTTGATGGCAACCACTATTTTCTATGAAACTTTCAGTATTTTTCAGTGTCTCATGTTTCTTTTTTTTCGTAAGCTACCCTGTTGTATGGTGCCAGGGGTATTGAAGGTATTTGAAATTGTAACATATATATGTATGTATGTGTGTGTGTGTGTGTGCGTGTGTATGTATGTGTGTGTATATATATATGTATATATGTTTATAGTTTTATTGCCTATTTCAGTGTGTTTGAAAACAGACATGTGGAATTGGAGTTACTGTAATTGCTGCCTCGGTTTTATGTGGTGAATCCAAAAATGTATAATTAAAAATGGAAATGAACAAATCTGCACCCTTAACTCATCCTTAAGGCCCCTCTTTTTGACAGCTGCTGGTTTTTGCTCAGTGTATTGGTCAAAGTTCATGGCATGGGCATTCAGACAAAAACCACTGTGCATTCCACACATACCTCACTGTGGTACAGACTTGACCTTTGACATCTGCCATCTCCCTTCTCTCAGCAGCAATAGTTTTTTGGCCACTTAGGGCCAATGGATCAGGGTGTAAACACTATGACATGTGATCACTTTATTATTAACATTTTCTGCACATTTCCACATCCAGCGGCCACGAAGCAACATTATCCTTTATTTGCTGTCGTGTTTGTAGTTTGACTTAGTTTACTGGTATTTGACCTCATTAAGTTTAGAGAGGTACAACACTGCTGTAGCTATATTATTCTATTATTCTGTGTAATTATCTTTGTCGGCATGATTTTGAATTTGGTTCTTGCCAAAAGTGGCAAGCCCTGAATGATGACGCCAATAGCTTAAAAGAAAATTCCACCTTTCCATATCACCTGTCTGTGCTGTGTTAATCGCCTGTTTGTCTACCAGCTGTGTCTGCATCGTCTCCTCCTGCCTCATTTATGATTCTTTTCTCATTTCAAGTACAACCTACCCTCCACATTTATACGTAAGTCGATGGATTTGCACCTGAATCATCATAGCTACTGCTGCCAATGTATGAGACCTTTCTTTAACACTAATGACATGTCAGCAGGACTTAGGGACCTCTAGAGGAATGTATGTGCACTGTGGTGTACTCTACAACAGGCCTCAGGCAGTTTCTCTTCTTGTGCATACACATACGATGACATCTGACTTGACATGTTTATTGACTGTATTAAGCTCTGCCTTTTGTCTTCTCTGAGTGGTCATTTTTAAAACAAGTCATTATATAATTAGCAATGGAATGTGAGCCTAAGGGGGAAAAATTGTGACACAACAGCTAGAAGGTTATTATTATAATAGTTAATCAAAATGTATGTACAGCTTACTGTAAAATCTAGACTGTGAGTGTGTGCTTTGAGACAACGGGGAGCAGATTTGCATGCTTGTGTGTATTTAGCTTTCATTTTTGGAGATTTGTCTTTGTTTTTAAACTTGTGTTCACAGATATGTTGATTTAGTCTTTTATAAAAAAGCTGAAGCATAAACACTGTTGTGAATAGCAGATGTGTTGAACATGAATTCACACACCCAAAGGGATGAGTCACCCACTTTTTATAGTCAGGTAGTTAGTATAACCTGTGTTAAGGATCCTCAGTGTCTTGTGGGCACCTGCAGCATGAGGCTCTGATAGGAGTGAGTCAGTAGTGAAGTGACTGATGGAGACAGCAGCCCATGTCCTTAAAGTGTACTGAAGGTGGCGGCTAAGATATGATCAGGGCTGAAACCCAGCCCACAGGCTAAACTGACTAATCAGACTGACAATGAGAAATAACTGTTGCCTTCATGGACAGATGGCTCCATCTTTCACTCACTTTTTTCAGCTTTCTCTCTTTCTTATTCCTCCCTCTCTCTCTCTCTCTGTCTCTTCACACCCTCTCTAAGGCTAGTTACACATAGTGCTGAAGCACATCCACACTTTGGTTATTTGAACGCCAATGTGCCTGAGCGAATGCCTCATCAGGAACAATCACAAGCATTGAGTTCTCCCCTCTTTTGAAAACCTCTTTGCATCAGCTATCTAGAAGCCACACTTTGCATCACTCACTGCGCACATTCAAAATCCAGCAGCACACAAAAGTCTAGTCACATTGTGGAGTTATGTACAAGTTGGAGCTGCCATGAAGCCTGGTATGAAGAATTAAGATGTAAGTTTTCTCTGCTCTGCATCTTTCATTGCTTAGAGACTTAGCAAGATGCTTAGGACAGCATGCGGCATGCGGCGTTAGGGATGTAGTGAAGGGAGTTACCCCAGGTAAGCCCCCTTTCATTTGTAGTCAAAAGGTAAAAATGTATTTAGTGCTTATACAAGCCTCCACGATTTAAATGTGTAGCAAATATCATCAAACAATTTTTTTGCACCTCTACTGGTAGCTGTTTGCTATTTTATCGTCATTGACTGTGGATGGCAATTTAAAGATAGAAAAGCGGGCCTCATTCCACCAAGGCTTGTTGAAACTGTTTGTCACTGACAAAGAAGGAGCTTTATTTTTTATTCCCACAAAACAAGACATCTAAATAAGCAGGGAAAAGTAAGGAAAGCATTCATTTCGGCAATGAAACATGCAGACGTGTCTGAGTTTCTGCTTGTGGTTTTTGCGCGTTGCTGGTCAGTGAACCCTGAAGTACATGCAGGTGTTTCCCTTCTGCACCACTACGTAGACCAACCCAGGCCAGTTTCGGCTCAACATTCGCCCAAGATTGAATTTAGTCTGCAGATTTTTGCAGCTGTTTGCTATGCTAATTTGAAGATGTTTTTTTTTCTTGAATGATGGATGAAGTGGAGAGATGCGCTGACAACAATTTTATAATCAACTTACTTGACACTCTTAAATGAGGCGTAAACATCCTGCAGAGCTTCTGTATGTGCTCAAAGAGAGGGAAATTGCTGCAGTTGCAACCTGTCACAGAGGTTGAACTAAACTTCAAACTGCTGTTTTTGTTTTGTTTGACTGACTTTGATCCCAGTAAGACATATTCAACCTAAAGCAGTTACATGTCACTGTTTGAACTGTACCCCCCCCCCCCCCCCCATTATCTGTCACTTAAAGCTTACTGGCTGCTCATAACAATCTGCAGGTTACATAGTTTAATCAGAATATAACATGTTGGTGATGGTCTAAGTGTATTTAAGAGGCTTTGTTTCCTCCCTCATAAAAAGCACAATGAAATGTTTTCTTGACCCACAGTTAGTCAAATTTAAAGGTGTCAGCTGTTACACTTCCATATCCCATTCTGGTTTACCCCTAATATTGAATTTTGTACTGAGTAATAAACACGTGATATCAATCTTGTCAATACATTTTTTATGCTGCTGTAAAAACTTTCATCTGCTAGTTGTCTTTCAAGTCTCGAAATGAGGAAGTTAACCACAATGAGATGACTGAGAGCACAACAATGGCCTGCTGTATCAGAACCATACTCGAGCTAAACACACTCTGTAGGATTTTTTTTTACTTTTAATTGGCACCGGCCTCAAACAGCATTCAAAACAGTGTGAGAGATTTAGGCAAACTGTCCCTTTCACATAGACATGTTGAGAAAGAATCTTACGCTTAAGTTAAACTTGTAAAAACTGCTGGCCTCTGCAAGCCATCAAACTTAAACAGTTGTACTGACTGCCCTGGAGTGTCTCGGAAAACTCTTTATGATAATTTTAACATGAATCTTCAAACTGAGGACGTACTCAAATGACAAGTCCGATTGTGATGTTATTCTATTAAAACAACCAGAATACATTTATAGATAATATCTTTTGATTTTAATTTTTACTTCACCTTCCTGCATCAGAAAAGATTATATAATATATAATATAATATATAGTATAATGTTCTATTTAAGGATTCTAGATTGAAAGTGCTTTGCATGCCGTTGCTGTGTGTGTAGATTTGTTACCACAGTTGTTCTGAGACATTAACACAACTGCAGCAAATGTATTAGCCTGTGCTCTGCATTTTACAGGATGGCACCACCAGGTTGCATTTGTGCAGAAACATCTCAGATTGCTTTTTGACTCACTGTTTTTCCTGGGAAAGGAATTATCATCTGCTGCGTGGGGGGAGGGATGGAGGAGGATCGACTGCACGGATGTTTGAGGGTCACACATCAACAGGGATCATACATCAACTACAACAGAAACTTGATGATGTTTTTGCTGCACAAACAAAGTTAAAGCTTTCATTGGGGAAAGGTAGTAAAAACTGGATTTAGCCCGTCTGTCCTGGGGGTGTGGTAAAAAAATGTCAGGGGGGCAGGTTGTGACAAAATGCACTTGTTTTATCCATGTGGTTTTATGTGTGTCCACATGAACACACATAGTTGTTTTTACCTCTTTACCTTTCATGTGCTGTGGCCTGGAGGAGATTTTTTTCTATTGTTTAAATGCACAGACTGTATGTAGGTTTAAATGCAATTACAATGAACCTGAAGCGCTTGAATAAAACACTACCCCACATTTGTTTTCATTAAATGTGAGTTTATTTTATCTCCTTTCAGCCATCCAATCTAAAATTTACAGCAAACGGTCAGCAAACTCGTATCCCAACTTCACGTGAACTTCACTTTACTATGAACTTTTCTCATTTCATACTACTGTATTTTGTCCTAAAAAAAAATCCTGTCACCTTTTTCATTTCATATTACTCTGGTTTGGTCGCAGTGGCCATGTGAATGCTAGTTGACTCCCCTGTCCTTTTCTAAAGTACAATCAGTGAAGCCTCATTTTGTAAACACAACTTTGTCATTGGTGGTGCAAAAGTTTCAACAGGGCAAGTAAAAAGCATGTATCTTGTTTTACAGAGTATTTTAGCCGTGATCGAGAGTGAAACCAACTGTGGTTTAATGCACAAGGACCACTGACAAAATACCTGCAATGGGTACAATTTCAGCACAGACTGTGACGCTGTGTATGAGCTCCAGCTTGGTAACCACTGTAATGGAGCCAGTGTGTCTACGTACATGTGTTTCCCCTTACCTGAAACTCACCCTGAACAGTTATCTCTGCTATGCCTAGACGTAACCAAACTTCAGCGCCAAGCCCAGAACGGGCTTAGCGGGTAGTTAAGGTGAACACCATATCAACATGTTGACTTGCTTCTATTTTTCCAGCTGAGATATTTTGCTTAATTAAAGCCTGTTGTTTCTTATCAACATTTTCTGATAATGCAGCACTGCATGCTGGATTAATTCTCTACTCACATGTCTAAACAGGTCAGTGTTGGCAAACCCTCTTGTTTATGGCAGCCAGACAGATCCAGCTGTATCACTTCCATATTGGCTCCTAAAAATTTAGGATTCATTTCATCTGAACAAGCCCCAACTTACATTTTCATTCCTCACAGGAGTATCAGGTCATCTGATTGGAGTCTTTGACATTACATGTGGCTACACATTAGCAACCTTTTGAACTACTTTAAATGGCTCTGAAGCCGACTTTTATTCATTTGTGTCTTAGATTTTCTGTTGTGAGTCTGAGCATTTATTGTACTAATAGGCTACCTTGTGACATTTATGGCATCATGACAGCTGTGACTTGAGATCGTATTGAATTTGGTGATAATATATTGATGCTGCACCTTTCACAAGCAGACACTTTTCAAGAGGAACATATTACTAGCTTAGGTTAAAAAAGATCTTTAGAATTTAGAAATTTCGGGAGACAGTTAGCCCTAACATGAAGACTGGAAAAAGGGGGAAACAGCTGGCCTAGCTCCGCCAAAAGCGAAAACTGTTTCTTGACAAACAAGAGTTTATCCATCCACTCAGCACTTCTGTGCAGCATGTCTGACTATGTCGTAGGTTGCCAGCTAAGGTCCTGATACCAAACCTGGCATCTTTGCTGTGACAAGACTTCAGGAAGTCACTGCACATGGCTGTTGTTTAGGAAATTGTTCTTGCATGTAACTCCCTCTAAAATGTTGTTTTACATTTCCAAATGGGAGCTAATTGATAGTGATCTTCTCATCCATCCATCCATCCATCCATCCATCCAGGGTAACGCGGGGACTGCAGCCAATCCCAGCTGGCATCGGGTGAGAGGCTGGGTACACCCCGGAGACGTCGCCAGTTCATCGCAGTGGACACAGACACAAACAACCACTCACACTAGAAAGCAAGCAGTATTTCCCAAAATGGATTCCTTTAAATTTGAAACAAAATCATTATTAATTATGTTTTAAAGTAAATGAAGATTGAAGTATGTTTAATTGTACCAGCTTTTATTCTGTAGTTGAAAGCGCTGAAGAAAACTTAGACACAAAGTCTTATGTCTTCTCTCATACAAATTGGTAGGTGACTTGGTTTGAGAAGGAAGGCTGGGAAGGAAGTCTATGATAAACATACAAAAACATGATTTATATGGTGGTATTTTAATTGAGTTTATAGATTGTCTATGTGATAGATTTGTCTGTTATGCATTTGAATGCATTCAGCCCATTCTCCTTAATGTACTTGTCATCTTCAATTCTGTTTCATTTTAGAGGCCTTTTTGTTTCCCTTTTAAATAAGTTTTATTTCTCATAGTTATGATTCAACTTAAATAGTATCAACACTGAAACTACATGCATGAGGGAGATTTGTGGTTAGTGAAGCTGTGACATCCCAAGGGGGATTGTTAGCCATCTTCAGGCTGTTATAAAGAGCGTCAGTCACCCCGCCACTTTGATTTTCTTCTGTTTAGTTATATGATATAATCCAGATAAGCAGTATGCACTGGGAGAAATGTAAGTACAACACACTTTTGCTCTTTCATTTACATGATTCACTGTAACTGTAAACTCCTCATTTCGCAGATTGTCCTATACTATTGTATAACTAATGACTTGAAAAATAATTTTGAATCTGCTTCTATTTTTTTGACGACTGTAAAAAAGCAGCAGAAGGTTTTTAAAATAGTTAGTAGGGGTTTCACCGTTTTGCACATTATATTTCTTAGAGGAAGCAAACACAATAATATGAACATAATATCATGTTCAATATAGTGCACCCCAGAATGACACACAACCTTTTTGAAGCGTAAATGTTCCTTTTTTTGGCATGTCCTTTCAGAATAATAATTCGATGAATATTGTGACAGAGACAATTTGATTTGGCTGAACTTGTTTGAATTTCCACGGTTGCATTTTGGGGCCAATCGTAATTAACTGTCATAATTAATTTGACTGTTTGCTAATCACAAATGTAAAGCCCAAGTTAATGGGCTGTAGTTGTGCTAACTCCCCTCCATAACGTACAACATGTCATTTAGAAAACTGACATAGAGGGTAAAGTCAGGAGTTTGGACATTTTTGAGAAACTTTGAATAGAAGGAAAGAACAGTTCATGACAGCTTGTCCCGTTGTGAACTGTGTCAGGACGAGTGTTGAAGCTGTTGTGTTGGACTCTTTTGGAAAGAGGATGTTGGTCATTTGGAAGTTGGCTGTGTGTTGCTATTGGGTTGTAATCTTGATATGCAAAATGGTTGCATGCCTCCGCCGCAGTAAATACAGCACAGCTGTGGAGCTTCCTCTTTTTTGTTGGTTGAGTCCGTGTGCATTTGCCATGGATTGTTTGTCTGTCTGTGTGTGTTCATGTGTGATTGTTTAAAGCAGAAACAGATGAAGGACAACAACATCTTCTGTTTATTTAAGTTTCAGTTCACATGCCCCTACTGTAGCATTTATTTTAAGTTTATATTAGATTATAATATGTTTTTTTAATCCAAATTTTTTCAGTAGTGGCAGTAAATCTTTGCAAACCAACTTATTTAGACAAGAGGAAAAAATCCAAACTTATCTTACATCTCCAATAAAACAAAAAAATCTTTTGCGTTTTTCTTGACCCCAGGCTCTATACAAATGTGGTACCAGGATGAACAAAATTTAGAGTTTCTTGTCAACAGCTTCACTTAACTATTCAATTTAAATGATGAATTACAAAGTATGTAACTGAACTCATTCAAAGGCAACATGAGTACTCTGTGCTATTGCTGTTGTAAATCACTTGCTGTGATAGGCACCCCACCCCTGTTTGCAGCATACTGATCGTGTCTTTTTCAGGGAATATTTTCAAATATTTTGTTGGCTGTGTGACCTCTCCTGCAACGCTAGAGTTGAACAATAGTATAGCAGTTCTACAGTTAGTCACTATTTGATCTGAACCATGATGTGAAATCCTTTCTGCACACTGTCCAATTCCATTAAACTGAGTAGGAGGATTTTCTTGTAAACTTAGAAATGTTTTATTTACCAGACAGATTTTGAGTAGATTTTTGCGATTGTGCAATAATGGCTTAGCAACTGTTACTAGCCTTTAGCCTTTCCATGACCAAAAACATGTACAAAAGCTTACAATGAATAGATCGAAGTGTGTTTATATGTTTGAGCGTTATATTTTATTCCCCCACTGAGTGAGAAGAGGGATGCTACGATATCAGGGGTTAGGCTAACTGTGAGCTCATAGAATTTAGGGATGTTTTCTATCATACTTTTAATCCTATGATTAACTTGCTCTGCGCTGCGATAGAAGAAAAATGTTGTTTCCTAATTCCCTGTCTTCTACACGGATGATCACCTGGTGAGGATGCTGACTTTTTCCCTGGCACCTGTTAGCTTTAGCTTTAGCCTCAGTCTTTTAACAAAAAAACATGCACGTGGCCTTCAGGGAAAAAGTCAGCTGGAGAAAGTTTCAGTCAAGTAATGGGACTACCGTTAACTTAATTATAGCAACATAGATAAAATCCTCTAGTCATAGGCATCATTCTGGCCACTCATGCCTGCTTTTGTCTACCTCAATCTGACCCATTGTATTTTAAGGTGCGTGGAATTTTGAGCAGTAAATCTGCCACCATAATGCATATGTGGTACAAGAAAAGAGGCGCAGAAACATTAACAAAGGGGGGCAGGGCTTAGCAAACTGTCAATTGTGTTTCCAGTCCCTGTTTCTGTTAAGCATCATGGATCTGTCTGTGCATGTCAGTGTTTTAGCTGGTAGCTAGTGTTTGTCAAGAACGCCCAAACCAAGACCAAGTCAAGACCATGACCAGAGTTTATCGAGACCGAGACAAGACCAAGACCATTGCATGGTACGCAATAAAATGTGGAACAAGATCATAGGTACTTCTCAAATTGATCTGAAAGATCCACATTCCCATTAAAACACCAACATACAAACACTAAGAGCTGAAATCAACGTAAGCATTGTAGGAAGGGGTGACAGTCATTAATTAGGGTTATTGGTTGCATTTGAATATGTTCCAATCAAAGTTAGGATGTTAACAAATCAGACAATGCAAAAGCTATTTATTGATATTCCCAAAGTTATGGTCTTGACTGGTCTTGAAATAAAATCCTGAGTCCTCAATGTCCAAGACCGAGTACAAATGCAGTCGAATTCGAGACGAGACCAAGACCATCAAAAACTGGTCTTAAGACCAGTTTTGAGTACTACAACACTAGTGCATGGCACATTGTCATACTGTTGTTTGTCTGGAGAGGGCTTTTTATATTGTCTAACTCACAGAGCAGATCAATCAGCTGCTGATACGAATCTAGAGCAGATGCTGTCAGGACACCCTCAGCCTAACAAGATAGGTTAAGTAGAGGGCAGTAACAGCAGTCTAGACCACAGATCTCCCTCCCATGTTACTTAGAGTGTTAGGAACAACGGTCCTGGGATAAGAGGAGAAAGTTGCAGGCTGGTAACTGGAAGGAAATTCTGAGCAGGAAAGAGGTTTAAGTGAGAGAATACATTTTAATGCAGAATGTATTTCTGTAATTTATTCAGGAAATGTTTGCTAATGGAAAAAAATGAGACATTGCTAAAAAGATATGTGGCACTTTTCAGTTCTAAGATGCAAGTTGCATGTTTTCAGTCCAAACTCCTTTCAGGAATGTTGTGCCTTCCCAACTGGCAAAAACAAATCTTAAAAAAAAGATAAAACTTGACACTGCCTGTTTTGTGTTGAGGTAAACTTTGCATGTTCTCAGCCAAACAGTTTTATACTGAAATCAAACCAAAACTGTTTTTGGATCTTGGCCATACACTACTACCAATATTTTCTACAAATATGTTGAGGTTCAGGGAAAGAGCCAGCCGCGCTGACTATGCATTTAGCATTTATTTGGGCTTTCTCAAGCAGTCAGGTAGTTATCGTGTACTACTCAATGGCTGCTTGTTAAGCTGTCGCTCCATTTGTCAGTTAGCGAAACCAAGCCCTGCTAGCCAAATGCCAACCAAAGCTAAATTGCGGGGTGGTGGACGAGACTGTTGAACTTGAGTCCTGCAAACGTTGCAATAGCTGAAACACAATGTGGCACAATGTCATGTGTCATAAAACCACCATATAGCCTGTGTGAACAGGCCTTTTTTAAATTTGTTCCAGCTTAACTGTACCAGGACAGGCTTACTGCTAGCTTAACTGTATGCTACCACCACCCCCGAAATCCTTCTCCAGCAGTCACACTTTGCATCAAGGGAAGCTCTTCCACCAAAAGAGAAATCTCCAGGATTGATGCTTGTCAGTTCCTGTTGGTGAATATGTAAGGAAATTGACAAGAGTTTAAAAAAGATGTTAATTGTGATAATTTATTTATTATTGTGTCATTTAATCATTTTGATTTGAAATAATATAATATTCGAAATAAACACATGAATAGGTATTTCCCACCAGGGATCTCACCAAACACCAGGGCACATTTAGATTTGCCAGAATGACAAACTGGTAGTCTAACTTTGGGCTGGGGTCTAAGAAGACATGGGTTCACTTATGAAAAAGATTGTTGATTGAATTTATCATATCAGTGAGTCTTCTGAAATTAAAGGATTCAACCAGGACGTCTAGAAGGTGAGATCCTCTGCAGCACCATAGTTTGAAGCGTACAGCCACTGACCAAGTGGCCATCTCTGTCCACCCGGGAGAAAGGCAATGTTGTTGTGCAGAGATCTGAAGTTGGTGAATTGCTGTGAGGAAAAAAAGAATTACTCTGACTTTGTAACCTCGTGACTGAATGCCCTGTCTGCAGTTGCACATGGACAGTACTGTTGCTCTGAGTACATTCAAAAGAGGCCCTCTCAGGCAGTTCAGATTTCTCCTCATGCTTATACTTGCATTGTGCACATTTGGACTGTTTGGGCTGCAGTCTCTGTCAGCATTGCACTGAAACTTTCACCTTTATTTATTAAAGAGGGAATGTCAATGGGACACTCTTTTTCAGGAACGCCCTGACCACATTCAAGCTGGGCAGCTCCACCTGAGCTCCACTGGAGCTGCTGGGGTTAAGAGCACCTCAGAGGTGGTAGAGAGGGGAACCACACAGTTTTATTCTGCCGGTCAGGTTCCAGTCACAAGCTCGCTTCTCTAACCTTTCAGCCGCCATTGCACCTATTTGTCAGTGAAAGTACAGAAAATCTTGATGATGGTGTTATTGTCTGGAAAAGACAATAAACTCTTACTTCTGATGCATGCCCTGGTTCACAATTCAACAGCAGCCACAGTGGGCACCACCATGGACATTAAATTGTAACCAACTAACACATACATATCTACATAAAACTTTATACCTTAGACCTCAAGACAGCCTAGGGAAATGAGGTCATGTGTATCCATCTCTCTCTGTCTCTCTCTGTCTCTCGGTTTCCGGCCTTTCTAGCGCCACCGTCAGCACTGGCCAGGTCCAGACCGTACCAAGGTGTTCGAGTCAGAGATCCAGTCAAAGAGCTGCTAAGGAGAAAAAGAAGTCTGGAGCCGCACAGTGCCAAGACAACGCCCTCTACTGTGGTGATGACAACATGACACATGACACAACATAATGCATATTTTATACAAAACAAGTTGTTGCAATTAATTCTGGGAATACATACGTTAGCCCTCCACCCTTTCCAAAGAATATGACTTTATAATGGCCTTGCAAACACTGAAACAACATTCTGCCCTCTATTGTTCCTCCAGCCGATCACATAATCATTAGTCATTAAACAAATAAGAAGCCCTGGATTTACTGTAGCAGCAGTTACACTATGGAGCAGTGATTGCTCAGGATTATGTGCAGTCGGGCTAACATTTCAAATGTGTGCTTCATGAGATTTTCAAATACTGAAAACATGCACAAGGTTTGAGTCTGTGAAATGAAAGAATAATTTAAAGTACAGCAAAGGAGCAGAGTTACTTTTAAATGTGTTGGTCTGAAAAACAAAACCACAAGCCTTTCTTGTCAGGGCTCTGACATTGACAGCTAAGCTTTTAAATGAACTTAAGTTCAGGAACTTTTTTAGCGGTGTTGTCCTGGAGTAGTTTCCATCGCACACACATATAGCCAGTTCTCTCTTTGATGTACTGCCGAACAATGTCTGAATAACAAATTGCATTTCTAAATAACAATTTCTTTATTGCATTCTGATGATTTATCACTATTAATCTCCAGGTTGACGTTCTTCACTCATCAGAACTGTCATGTAGATGAAGTCAATGCTGCTTTCTGCAGCAGGGAGACCACAGCAGACAAGAAATGGTTCTGTGGGGACATTTTTCAACACATTGTAGACAGCGTTTTAAAGAGCTCAAAGAAAGGGCCCCTGTGGGGCCATCAGGATGTAAGCAGTCAAGACCCAGGGCCTATCCCAGAGTGAAGGGGGATTTTGTCCTTATATAATCCAGGTGTTTTTCCATGACAGTTACAGCCATTCCCTTAATGGCTCCAGGGCTGGGCACACAGCCCTATGCAAAATAACTTGCAGCCTTGCCAAAGAGCCCTCCCACTTGCTATTTATTACACCAGCAGACCAGGAAAAGATAGACACAACGCATTCATACAGGCCCACACAAACACTCACACACACGCCCCCATAAAAGAGAGAGAAAAACATCAAGCATCACTTGATACTAACTGTAGTGTTCTGTTATCTTCTAGTAGGTTACAAAATATAATATAATACTCATCTTTCATTGTTAGAGCATCTCTGCAGAACATGAAAAAAACTCCCTCACATCAGATATCATTAAAGGGTTTAACCCTTTAAGAATGTATTTTTTTTTGTGTACTTTTGACCACTGAGGGTCCTCGGGGGCCTCTCTAGGTGTAAATCCCCAGGTTTTTAAATCAAGCCAAGGTAGTTAATCACTATAATACTGTGTTCACTTTCATTCTGCCATGTCAACACAAGGAATAGCTTGACATTTAGAAAACAATTAGAAAAACAGTCAATACATTGCACTGCTATTACTGTAAGTATAATACTATTATGTATAGCTGTTAAAGGGTCAGTTCAGACAAATTATTAAAAAACACATTTCCTACCAACCTCTAGTGGTACCATGTAGGTAGTTTAGATTTTATTGGCCTTGGTTTATTAGCCCTGCTGCTAATCTACCTTACGCTGAGCCTGACATGAGAGGCAGCATGCTGACATGATGTACCAGGGATTTGGGTTGAAACAGAGCACTTTGGTTTGAGAGTCTTGTATCTGACACAGTGCCTTGTTAGTGCAACACTCCCAGTCAGCACCTACTATAACACAGTTGGTATTATGTTTATTGATGTTATTAAATCTGAGCATAGCGGCAGGAAAAATAGCTCATTCACTAACTTATTTTCAAGGAACAGCTTCTGAACATGTACCCAGCAGCAACAATAACAACCCCCCCTCCCCGCCCCAGAGTTCTTTAACCTTCCAAACTTGTTAATGTCTTTGGTCAAAATGACAGAGCTGTAACTCTCCACCTGCTGTCAAAGCTGTAACACTAACCAGCTCCTCGGTACCTCTGTGGCCTTCTTAATCAACTGACAGCACATGCCCTGCTGCCTCTGAACATGCCCTGCTGGCTGACTGCAGGGAGCAGGATGCCATCTTCACTGTTGCTCGTGTCACGCAGTGCCCTAAAACTGACACCAGCTGTCAAGACTGTCACTGCGCTGCCGCCTTTCTCATTCCTTCTTTCTCACTACAGACTCTGCTGCTTATATAAATGCACCCTTATAGGAACAAATTCATTTCTTCATACGTGCATACAGATGTCTTTGAAGATATATGCATGTGGTTGTGCACGATGAACAGTGGTGGAATGTAACAAAGTACATTTAATGTACTCAAGTACAAATTTGAGGTACTCATACTTTATTCATTTATTCGTTTATTTGTTTATTTGGATCGCCATCAGCTGCCACATGAGTGGGAGCAACTCTTCCTGGGGTCCACATACAACAAAAATGCATAAAATACAACAAACATAACATATAACATACAAATGTGTGACATGATGCAGTACTATCAACTACTAAGTAGTATATAAAGTATCTCAAATTGGCTCTACATTGACAAACTACGGCATTAAATGCTCCTGCACGCATTTGTTAGTGATAAATCTGAAAATAGAATTTACCATAATAGGTATTTTTACTTTTGATACTTTAAGTACATTTAGCTGATATTACGTCTGTACTTTTACTTAAGTAAGAATTTTAGCAGATACTGTGAGAATCTTTCTTTACTCTGAATTTAAACAAATCAAATTATTTTCTACATTTAGTCCAATGAATGATGGCTCCAAAGGAACACAAGTGGATGACAAGCGACCTTGGACAGAATATGTAAATTAGAAGATAGATTAAAATGTTAATGTTTTTATTGTTACTTTGGAGACAGCTATTGGTAAAATAATCTCACCATTAGAAGCTGTTCTGAAAATGTTGATTGTATCATACAGTCTTCCTCACCCGATATATGCCTGGAAGATGCTCAGCCATTTTAATGCATCTTAAGCAGCCGCTGGACTCAATTAAAGGTCACTCCCAACACCTGGATTACATTATACTGGACATAACAAATATGGATATGTGATATCAATACTCAACAACAAGACTCACATGCCCATATGTATGTTAAAAGAGTGTATGGTCGTAATCCCTTGTCCCCCATAGCAGTTCCAGTGTAAATGATGGGTAACTTAATCCACAGTCATTTGTTTAGCAAAACCTCCTATGAGTCAGATTTAGACTGATTCAGTCAAAGCAAACCAAAGTTACAGTGTTTTCAGTTCAAACACAAAGAGGGATGTTTGCACTACAAACTCTGTAACTTTCCCTCTTTATATGAATAACTCATGACTGCTGAAGTATTGTATTAGTTTCATCTGAGAGTACATTAACCTTGGAACAAGCTTTTATCCCCATCCATTACACTGAAATTACCTTAAGAACTAATCTCTTCGCTGCCGGCACTGAAGAAAGAGAAACAAAATTACAGTGACCGATTCCACTTTCACTGTAAATGTGGTTTGAGTTCTGTATTATGATTGACTTAAAACAATGTTCTGAGAATTGTTAATAGTCTTCCTAATCTAATCCACCCTCTGTGGGCTCCACCCTCTGTCTCTGAACAACCTCTGCTGGTGTAAGACAAGTGTGTCCGTTGTGCCTCCAGGGAATACGATATCCGTTTAGTCGCAACATTCCAGCGCAGTTCGGTGTATGGATGACATTTGCATTTGCATTTCCTTGTTGAGATGCGACGTCTACTTACAGATATGTTTTCAAGAATAGTTCTTTTCAATGGGAAACACAAATGTATGCAGTATAGCAGTGAATAACCAACCTTTTAGACAGTTCTAACCAGCTCCGTTCCAACAGAAGACAGAGTGACAAGCTTTAACTTGTGTTTGTGTATTTAGCCTGGCTTTTACAAAGTGCCCAAGTTTTCATCTACTTGAATTATGAAACAGATACATTCATCTCAAATTTCATATGTGTAAAATGTTTTGCCCTCCTCACAAAATTCAACTTTTGTTACACATGAACCAATTAGGGAAGCTAATTCTAAAGACAAACTCCTCAGCACCATACCTGTGTGTGAATACACTAACACATTTTGAGTTGTATCCCTAACACACACACACACACACACACACACACAGATTATAATCTCAACTCTGCTGCTGCTCCTACCTGGTCTCGATGAGTACAAGTGTAAATACTTAATATTTATATGTAAACATCACAGTGTGACAAGTTCTGCAGCAGCAACATGTGTTTGTGGTTCCACTACAAATTATTGACCTGCTCAACCCACTTTTTTAATTGTTGTAATTTTTTTTTTTTAAGGATGTGGTCGCACACAACAACCAGTCATCATTCACACAAGGTACATTATCACTCCTTACAGCTGTGTTGAGCGTTACCAGACCCATTTACCAAATTGATTCCTGTAAGTAAAGCATATGTCTCTGCCTGTCTTTGAAGTCTCACGCTCAACCTTCTCTTTGGAATTCAGGCATCTTTGGCTCTGATGCTGCTGAGCCGTCGACTATAGTCAGTGATGGAGGGCTGCAGAGTGCAGGGTGGAAAGCTGCACCCCTTGCCACCAGCGCTGGCAGCCTGCAGCCTGCTGTAACGCCCTGGCCTTCGTCTGACTACAACCTGCAGGGCGGTTCGGCTCAGACTCTGGCCTACTCAGCGACCCCCACCCTCACTGCTGATGTGTACATGCAGACTCTGTGTCCCAGCTACACCATGCTGACCTATACACACACGCCGCTGCTCACTAACTTTGGGGTGAGTATGAGACAACTCTGTGTGTGAACAAAAATATGCTTAATGTTTTACCACACAGGGCAACTTGCCCTGAGTTAAGTCTCCCAGATAGACCTTTATGCCAGTTTGCATACAATTTCCACCTTGGCAGATCCCAACCTAACCTTAAAGTCATACTCCTGTTTAGTATCACCCCCAGTTATCTGAAAAAGGTTATTACCACCAAAATATGACGCTTATATTTGTAGCTTGCTCAGTGGTGGCCAACCAACAAATCTAGCTTATCACAATAAGAGGTAGTACATATGGCCATATTTTTGGCAAAAATAGTGAGCAGAAAGACTGTTTAGTTTAACCATGTACACCCTGCAGTGTGTTGGTCCACGTGCACCTGCAGCTCATTTTGTGATTAATTATTATTAATTATTAAAAACATTATCTAGATATTCTTAATATTCTTTTTATTACTCAAAATTGGAATAATATACAAATCCATTTAAAAAAAATTCCTCGTATGTAGAGTAAAATTACACACCTGAAAATATGGATTTTTATGTTTTTTATGTCATGTTATGCTATGTATTTAAGCTCAATAGTTGAAAATTAACAATAAAAAACATATTTTAGAAACAAATAGAGGAAAAACACTCACAGTGTCATTGATAACTGTAGTTACATGTATGCGGAAACCCAGTAGCATATTGTTATCCTCATCTAACCTCATGTTGGATCATCTCAGTTTTAACATGTCAACATCCAACATGTAACAGATTACATAGTTGTAGTTCAAACTGATTTCTTTACAGTATTTGAGTATAATACTTATTATTTCATGTAAAGCAGTCAAAAGTTGCAATTTAATGTTGTAATATGCACGTTTGCATTGCTATTAATGTTCATATATTTGTTAAATGTCTGTTTTATTATAATATAAAACTATTCATCTCAGCTTTGAAAAATTTGAATAGATAAGCTAGCTTGTTACAGAAATAAAACCTACATTTTAATCAGAATTTTAATTAATAAAACATACACCTGTTAATAATACTTTACTGTACAAACTATTATTTTTTTTATCTTGACTGACCTCCTAGAATAAACGTTTTCACAGATATGTCTGAAGCATTTAGCACATGGCCATCACAGTTGGCCATCTTGGATTGCTGTGGTCATCAAGCAATAAATATTTAGAAAACAAGAGAGTAACCACTGTTACAATGTTGCTTTCAATCAACTGACACTGTCCTCAAATGACTTGGAGAACATAAACATGATATAGTAACCCAAAATGAAGTTATAATAACTGTCCACAAATGTGAACACCATGCATGAAAGGGTTAAAAGGAACTTAAAAACCGATTTTACACATCAAAGTCTTGGGGAAGAAAAAAGTTGTATAAAGCGTTTTGTCTCCAGAGAGAGCTGTGTGACGTCTGATTAATTGCTTCAAGTGATGTCACTGGAGTCAGCACTACAAGCAGTTTGTAACAAAAACATCTATTGTTTCAGAGCATACCTGTAGCCCCAGCACCAGGCTCCCTCCCTCAGATGGAGATCCCAGACTCAGGGTTGACCTACCTTCCCTGGGCCCAGCCCCTCACTACCATATCTACCATGCCCAACCCGGGGGTCCAGTTTGCCCCCAGCTCTGCAGCCCTGCCCGGGTCACCTCTGGTCCACATGCCCTTGTCTATGTCTTTGACCACCATGATCCCTCAGCTGGAAGCTCAGGGTGTCGATTCTCAGCCGCAGATACTGGACCACCCGCAGAGCTCAGACCACCAGCTTGACCCTGAACCACAAGGTGAGCCTTTGGATGAAGATCCAGGGGTGGAGTCGGAATCTCAGAGCCTACTGGATAAGCTTCTGGAGGATCAAAAGGATGATGACCAAGAGGAGGACAAAGACTCATACAGCAGCTCCCTATTCCTTCCTAATGTCTGAAAATATGAGTGTTCCTCTGTCCGTAGAGAGCAGTGTGTTTTGTAGTTGTTTCTCAGGGGCCATCATTACAGAATTATTTGTGTTTATAACAACTTGGGTCTTAATTTTGTAGCTCTGTATTCTTTGTAGCCATAATTTCTATTGATTATGATAGCACTGTTCTGACCAAAAGAATTGCTGAGATTGATACCAGATTAACAACTTTTATTAATTACAAATATGTTTAGTAATATGCAACGCTTAATCACAATAAACAACAGCAAACTGAATCCTGAGAGCTGGTCTTGCATAAGGAACATGTTTCAAAATCTAGTTTTGATGCCTTTAATATTTCAGTTGATATTGCTTCAAGATTGCGTTGTTCATATATGTTCAACAAGATTGTTTCTAATCAAATCAAACTGTAAACTGATATACAGCAGGGTAGGTTATTATGGAGCAGTAATACTGCTATCTACTCACAACTGCATTATAGTGTATTACATTTATTAAAAGTTTATATGCTTCTTCTAAATGCTAAATGGGGGAGTTAAAGTGAAGTGCTACGAGAACCTGTCTAATTGTCTTTGTCTTGTTTCATTGCCATGTTCCCAGGTATTTAATAATTAGTACACTGGTACAGTGCATTCAGACCAAAAGTGAAGCGAGAGTTTGAGGCCCCGCGATTACATACAAAGTCAATGCAAAGAAGCGGAGAGACGCGATTTCCTGTTGGTGGTGAGGAGGCATTCCTGTGAGTTGAAAATTTTCAGCCTATCGGCTTTAGAGCGCAGGCAGAATGGAAAATGCTTTGACAACTACGCCGTTTACCCGCGGGAGGAGCTCAGAGTTAACTGCTTTTACTAAATTAACTTTTTACTTTCATTTTTGGGATTAAACGTAGATCTCTCTTCACTCGCGCTTTTCAGTTCCACTTTTCCACTGTTGAGGTTAGCGTCAGTGGGCAGCCTCAGGACGTTGGTTGGAGAAAAGAAAGTGAGGAAGTTGAACTAGCATGTGAGTTCAGAAAATATGTCTAACTTTATTCCAGCTTTCGTTGTACTTACTGTGAACAAGTTAGCATAGATTCGAACTCCATTCAGAAAACTAACATTTTAAAAGTTGTTGTCCTGCTGACTTGCTGACAGACCAGAAGCATGAATTCAGATGTCTAACAAGTGTTTGGTCTGAATGCACAGTTATTATAACCAATAAGAATGATAACCAAAACTAGAAAAATAAGACCTAAAATGAACTTTGTTATTAGTTAACCTGTTATTTTACCTTCTACTATTATTGTTTTGTGGTTGTTTTTTTTAAATATGCATGTGAGATGTAGCAAAGGGAAAAGTAACCTTTTTTGAACCTTGAACCTTTTTTAAAATTGTTTATAAATGAATGTGTAAGATATTAATGTGTTTCTCGATACACTCGTGTCAGCAGATGCTTCCTTTTTGCAGCAAAAACATTTGTCACTGAAAAACAGGAAAAAGACGTTACTGTCCCAGTCTGTAGGAGATATACAGTGGGTACGGAAAGTATTCAGACCCCTTTAAATTTTTCACTCTTTTTTTCATTGCAGCCATTTTCCAAAAATCAAAAAAGTTCATTTTATTTCTCAGTAATGTACACTCAGCACCCCATCTTGACAGAAAAAAACAGAAATGTAGAAATTTTTGCAAATTTATTAAAAAGAAAAACTGAAATATCACATGGTCATAAGTATTCAGACCCTTTGCTCAGTATTTAGTAGAAGCACCCTTTTGATCTAATACAGCCATGAGTCGTTTTGGGAAAGATGCAACAAGTTTTTCACATCTGGATTTGGGTATCCTCTGCCATTCCTCCTTGCAGATCCTCTCCAGTTCTGTCAGGTTGGATGGTAAACGTTGGTGGACAGCCATTTTCAGGTCTCTCCAGAGATGCTCAATTGGGTTTAAGTCAGGGCTCTGGCTGGACCATTCAAGAACAGCCACGGAGTTGTTGTGAAGCCACTCCTTCGTTATTTTAGCGGTGTGCTTAGGGTCATTGTCTTGTTGGAAGGTAAACCTTCGGCCCAGTCTGAGGTCCAGAGCACTCTGGAAAAGGTTTTCGTCCAGGATATCCCTGTACTTGGCCGCATTCATCTTTCCTTCGATTGCAACCGGTCGTCCTGTCCCTGCAGCTGAAAAACCCCCCCACAGCATGATGCTGCCACCACCATGCTTCACTGTTGAGACTGTATTGGACAGGTGATGAGCAGTGCCTGGTTTTCTCCACACATACCGCTTAGAATTAAGGCCAAAAAGTTCTATCTTGGTCTCATCAGACCAGAGGATCTTATTTATCACCATCTTGGAGTCCTTCAGGTGTTTTTTAGCAAACTCCATGCGGGCTTTCATGTGTCTTGCACTGAGGAGAGGCTTCCGTCGGGCCACTCTGCCATAAAGCCCCGACTGGTGGATTGCTGCAGTGATGGTTGACTTACTACAACTTTCTCCCATCTCCCGACTGCATCTCTGGAGCTCAGCCACAGTGACCTTTGGGTTCTTCTTTACCTCTCTCACCAAGGCTCTTCTCCCCCGATAGCTCAGTTTGGCCGGACGGCCAGCTCTAGGAAGGGTTCTGGTCGTCCCAAACGTCTTCCATTTGAGGATTATGGAGGCCACTGTGCTCTTAGAAACCTTAAGTGCAGCAGAAATTTTTTTGTAACCTTGGCCAGATCTGTGCCTTGCCACAATTCTGTCTCTGAGCTCTTCAGGCAGTTCCTTTGACCTCATGATTCTCATTTGCTCTGACATGCACTGTGAGCTGTAAGGTCTTATATAGACAGGTGTGTGGCTTTCCTAATCAAGTCCAATCAGTATAATCAAACACAGCTGGACTCAAATGAAGGTGTAGAACCATCTCAAGGATGATCAGAAGAAATAGACAGCACCTGAGTTAAATATGAGTGTCACGGCAAAGGGTCTGAATACTTATGACCATGTGCTATTTCAGTTTTTCTTTTTTAATAAATTTGCAAAAATTTCTACATTTCTGTTTTTTTCTGTCAAGATGGGGTGCTGAGTGTACATTACTGAGAAATAAAATGAACTTTTTTGATTTTTGGAAAATGGCAGCAATGAAACAAAGAGTGAAAAATTTAAAGGGGTCTGAATACTTTCCGTACCCACTGTATCAGAGACATATTTCCTGGAACACATTTATCATAAGTGCTATCCATCTCCTCATATTCTTGAGGTGTTTGCCTCAAAGAATCTGTCATTGGTGCTGTCAGTTAACTAACACTTTGAGAATTATCATGTTTCCTGCACCACTGTTTTTCTTTTTTTACTAGCTGATGCTTGTATGAAACCAGACGAATAGCTGTGGGAGCAAGTTGATCTAAGAGTAAAAAGTATTAAGTTATGTAATGACTGTCAGTAACTGTCTGTGCCACGCAAGTTATTGTACTGCCTAACAACAGAAAGTTTTGATAGCTGCTAAAATATTAGCATATTTTTGGGAGTGCTGTTTGATTCCTGCAAGAATGTGTTAAAAAGAATGTCAGAGGCACTGAGTGACAACTGAATTCTATAAGAAACCATAACAATCTGAAAAGCTCAACCTTCACCATGGTGTCAACAGCCAGTGCACACATGTAAAGTCATGAAACTGAATACATATGCGGGGCTTTGGGTGGATGCATGGGGCGGCTGACCCAGGACCCCCCACTGGTACAGGACCTACTACTCGGACTGCAAAGTTACTTCAACTGTGTATAGTGGACACAAGCTAACAGCAACAGTATATGACAATGCAAGACTGAGTCAATTCAGCAGTTCTTATCAAATGAAACAGTCCCTTCACTCATGGTTTCGGCAATTACCAACAAACACACTAAATTCTAAGGAGACATGTTTTAATAAACATAAATCATAAAGTAACATTTGTATTTCAAACAAAGGGCAAACTTATTAGCTCATTTTAACAAAAATCCCTTCACCCTCATGCATCATGGGAATCCTGAGGGAGGGGCGTAGGCGTGTGCGCAGCGGTTTATTTACAGCGTCAACTTCCACTTGAAGCCTCTTTCTTCAACGAAGCGTGTAGCCTGTCCCACATTAATGACTTGTTTTTAATCGTCATTTTTGTGCTTCTACTACATTCTTCAAAGCTCTTGTTTCTCGTCTTAACGGGTGCATCTAGCAACTACCACGGGGAACATTTCAGAATAAGAGCCGGACTTTATAAAGAGCCGACATGTTTAGATTTTGTTGATTTGGTGATTAGTGCTTGCTTTTTGTGCTCCGTAGTAAAAATGTTTCTCTTTCTTTCAGAGTGAGTCTGGGGTCATGTAAACTTGGATAATATGTGTTTGTAGCAGGTCCACGATGAAGCTCCGCCCCCACTGTGTTGACAGTCTAGCTCCGCCCCCGACTGACTTTAATATGAAACTGCATCAGGCAAGATCTTCATGTCAAAACTTCATGTCTTATCAGTATAAATCACAAATGGGCTTCCAACAGAAAAGCTTCTCCCACCCTGATGAATAAGACATGAATAAGACTAACGTGCAACACACCATTAGAAATATACAGCAGTATAGGGATGAAAGGAAAGGGATGAAGCAGCACCAGGGATATTTAGGGAAGAAGGGAGAAAGTATCGTAAATCAGTAGATATACAGATATGTCGTCCAGGGAAAGCAAAGGATGTTCATTCAAAGGATGAAAAAATGATCTCATGTCATGTTTTAGGTTGTTGTTCAAGCAGAAACATGGACAGATAGGCAAGGTAGTTAAACATTTCTGAAATCCAAGACAATTTGATTAGTAACACAAGAGTGCACTGAACCGTCTTACACTGTACTGCAGGATAAGGGACTTTGCTCCAGTCATGCTGGCTCTGAGTCTCAGGGGTTTTCCCCCCAGGGGAAACTGACATCGTGAGAGGAGCTGCAACTAATCCGTCAGATCATATCAGCGGGGAGAAAAAGTGCCAAACCTGCTCATGTGATGGGAACATGGGAAGAGAAGTCAGCTTTGGCTCTGTTTTCTCGTGTGGAATTCAAAATTGTTTAAACAACAGTCCAAATGATAGCATACCAGGGTTTGTAACAGGTTTCTTGTTCCAGGCTGATAGTAACCGAAACTCAAGATCATTGAGGAACTAAACATGGAGGTTTAAGGAGGATTTGGTTGATAAGATCATACCTTCAGTCTAGCTGCTCAAAGTTGCAGGAAACATGAAAGTGTTATGGGGGCATGTGAGGTATCTTTAAATCAAACCTCAGAATGATTTTAGGAGACTTCACGTGTTGAGTCCCTTTAAAGTACTCCATCTTTGGGACCAGAGGAGTTGCAGAAACATGCCTGGGCAGCACCTTTGATTGCACCAGAAGTGGGACACATAAAGCTGGCACCTATGAAGGCTGAGAATACACATTTTACACTCTGTCCCAATTAGAGTACTTGAATTGCATCTTAGTACCATTTTCTAGGAATGCAGTCTTTGTACAGAATTTATGTGTAAGCTGTAACTAATGTCTTTATTAACCATTAATACAGTATTTACTAGTGTTTTCTAGATCAAGTTTTAGTAATAAGAACAATTTTTGGGTTGTGTTTATCCTTTTGATAACGCTGGAAAGAATAAATGAATGAATGGTTTATTTTGGTTTACATTATAATGTTCAAGAATAACAATTTGTGTGAATATGTAATTTACATGCTTACACCAGTCCATTCACACAAAATAACTCACAACATGAAGAACCGAAAAAGGAATAGGCTGAAGCCCAAGGCTTAGATTTGCCTATCCTATACACTAGAATGCAGTACACCAGCAATTCACTTTTTAATAAATCATCAAGTCTTCAGTTACAGTTTATGTGTTAATAAGTCATTTATGAAGGGGTTTTGGACAAAACAGGATCCATGTGAAGGCCTCATCATGATGGTTAATATTTTGTTTTAGTTGGACACATTCCCATCCCAAACAAAGTTACATTTATCAAAATGATGACCAACTGCCAAGCAGTGAACATAGGGCGTTTCTGAGTCAAGGGCCCTTGGGTCTTATGAATCACACATTAAAAAACTGTGTCAGGTTGGCATAGAGATCAAATTTATAGCAGTTACTCAGGAGAAAAACAGTGTGACTCACTAAGCCAACACTTTACTTTCTCCGCTTAATTGGCAAAGTTTCAAAAATTTCCCTTCTTAAGTGGCTTTTCATATTTTAACTCCTGTGCCATCAAATCAATGTCAAACACTTTTGCACTTTAAGCACTGTGTGCTTCATTTACATTTATGGGTGATGTAAACAAAGTGTCTGACTGGTTGTAGTTGATCTGAGGGACAAACACAGCAGCAAACAACATTTGCCAAGAGAGCTCTAATGGTGCTTTCAAACTAAAAGCGAAGCGAGCGTTCGGGGCGGTGA